CCAGTCACCCTGCTGCCTCCCTATTCTAGTGCTGAGGTCCTGCTTTGTGCCCTGACTTAATATTCCTGCCTCTCAGGCACACCTGCCAATCTTGGTTTGCCTGGTCTGCACTTGGGACTCTACTATCTCTACAACTGTGAGCCATTTCCTTGAAATATATGTTATTGTTGTTGTTAAGTGCTGCTGAGTCACTCCAGCTTATAGTGACCCTGTACAGGGCTTCCAAGGAGCACCTGGTAGGTTTGAACCACCAACCTCATGTTTTGCAGTCCAGTGCTTATTCTATAGCATCACACAGGTGCTACTGAGTTAGTTCTCACTCACAGAGACCCAGTCCTATGACATTCTCACAATTGTTGTTATGTTTGAGCCCATTTTTGCTTCCACTGTGTCAATGCACCTCCTTGGGAGTCACCCTCTTTTTTTTTTTTTTTTTGGCAGCACTTTTATGGTTTTATTTAGCACAAATAAAACTTGAAAACAGACTGTCTGTTCATTTTCTTTGCTGTGCAGCCTGGCGTTGGGATTGGTGACTCTGATGGCCAGCTGGGCTGCTCTTTCCACGATAGCTTTACGGTTCTTGGAGGAGACGTTGTGAGCAATCTCTGCACAGTAAGATTTGTTGCACATCAGCAGCACCTCCAGCTCTTTGACCTTGTGGACCAGGAACTTGTGGAAGCCACTGGACAGCATGTGTTTTGTCTTCTTGTTGCTCCCATAACCAATGCTGGGCAATAAGATCTGGCCCTTATATCTTCTCCATACCCTGTTGTCAATACCTCTAGGCTTGCGCCAGTTACACTTAATTTTGACATAACGATCTGATTGGTGCCGGATGAACTTCTTGGTCCTCTTATTGACAATCTTGGGCTTCACCAGGAAGCCATGATGCCAGTCGAGATGGCCGCCTCCTCTGTAGGCAGTGCAGAAGAAGAGAGGGGAAGGTGAGGCTCGTCCTCTTTTTTGCTGACCCTCCACTTACCAAGCATGATGTCCTTCTCTAGGGACTGTTCCCTCCTGACAAGAAGTCCAAAGTATGAGAGCTAAAGTCTCATCATCCTTGCTTTTAAGGAGCATTCTGGCTGTACTTCTTTCAACATAGATTTGTTTGTTCTTCCTTCTATTCCTGAGTCTTCTTCTTCTACTGCTCCAGGAGAACAGTTGCTTGCAAACTTTTAAATTTGCAACAACAGGCACTATGCAACAAATGAGAAAGTAGACAGAAGCACTAAACATGCTTTTAGGCCAATTGACTATGATGCCCCATAAAACTATGACTTAGATTTCCAAACCAAGGAACCAAATCCCATGAGGTTTTGGGCTGTACATAAGCAGCCTCATCAGTTACTTTTTAAAAAAATAAATATATCTTTCACAGTAGATTTTTAAATGTTATACCAAGCTTACTTTCCTGGGATAAATCCCATTTGATTATCATGTATTATTCTTTTTATTTATTTAAATGTTTTATTGTGAATTATGTGATAATTTACATGGGAGAACATTAGCTTTACATTCATTCTATTGTATATCATTTCATTGCCATGGTTACAATCCCCTCCATTCATCATCAACCAACCAAACTGTATACACTGCAAGCCTGCAGCCTGCCCCCTGGTCGTCAGCACACAGCCCCTCTCCATCCCTGGGTTTAGAGTCCCCAGCCGCTTCATCTCTCCAGGTCATCGTCTCTGCCTCCATCTCTGATGTCACTGTTTCTCAGGGTTGGGTCCTGCACTCCACTCTTCTTCCTTGATGGTCCCATGGACCTCTGCTCCGGGACTGCAAAGTCACCCAACCATTCCCCTCCTTTTGTTACAAAACGTCTACCTTTATATTTCCAACCCTCACAGTCAGTCCTGATAGCAATTATTCACTATTGTGGCACATGAGTGTTAGCCCGATTCTTTTTTTTTATTACTAGCTTTAAATTGCTAATTTTTTTTTTTAACCAAGATAAATAACTTTATTTGGACTGAGAGCTGGCAAATGAGAGTAGAGCCTGAGATATTATACTGAGCTACAAAGGAGAACTGAGATTTAGAAATGGCAGGCAGAGCTCATAAATCAAATGGACTTCACTTCCCAGCAGCCTTAAAGTTAGTGAAAACAATGAAAGACATGCTAGCAAATGTATCTGCAACTGAATCATTAAGTTATATCACCATTATATGTGTATATTTAAAATGATAATATTAATTATATTATTTAATTAAGTTTATTAAATTATATAACTAATTTAATTATATAAAATCAAATCTTCAAGACACTCCAACCACCATTATTACAAAAGAAAGCTTTTTGTTTCCTTCTTTTTTTAAAAAAATCACATTTTACAGATCTTAAAGTTGTCTAATACTATAAAGGATTTTTGTGTCTGTGTTCATGGGGGATATTAACCTGTAGTTTTTGTTTGTTGGTTGGTTGGTAATGTTTTTGTCTGGCTTTGGTATAAGGGTAAGAAATTGAGAAGTATTTCTTCCTCTATTTTCTGGAAAAAACAATTATGTAGAACTGGCATTCATTTCTTCTTTAAATGTGATGACAGAATCCAACAATGAAACTTCTTGAACTAGAGTTTTGTGGGGAAATTTAAAACTGTGAATTCAATTTGTTAATTGACACAGAGTGAGTGGTAACTGACATTAAGTCAGTTTTGGTAATTTGTGTTTTTCAGGAATTTTGCCCATTTCATCTAGGTTGTTGAATTTAGTGACATAAATTGTTCATAATTAACTCTCATTATCTTTTTAATGTCTGTAGATCTATAATGATGTCCCTGATAATGTCCTTTCATTCCTGTTATTAGTCACTTATGTCTCCACTTTCCAGAGCTAGAAACTTTATGTTTACAAAGACCCAACTTTGGTTTTCTTGATTTTGTCTATTTTTATCTGTTTTTAATTTAATTGAGTTCTTATCTTCATTACTTCTTTCTTCTACTGACTTTGGGTTTAATTTACTCTTTTTTTCCTAGTCTGAAGTTTTTTTGAAATTATGTTTTCTAGAATAGTTAGGAAGGAGTTCTGGTAGCATAGTAGAATACAAGCTGGGCTGCTAACTGCAAGATCAGCAGTTTGAATCTACCGAGGGAGAATGATGAGGCCCCTTGCTCCCCTAAATATTTACAGCCTCAGAAACCATATACATATAGGGTCGCTATGAGTCTGAACCAACTTGGCACACAACCACCACCACCACCACCAGAGTAGTTAGTATAACCTCACAGAGAGTAATAAAGATCGTTCTAATCCAAAACTCTAGTTTTAAGGTTGGGGAAACTACTGTTTGCACATACTTATAACAAAATTTTAAGCTCAGTTGGAGCACATTACAGGTACAAAGTATTGGGGTTGAAGAGGTAGTGATGGTACTTGAGGGAAGGTGGATTATGTTCTACAATCTTGGAGCAAACTCACAGGAAATTATACTAATCACACAAGAATATAGAGTGCTGACACTTGGTTTCATTAGCCTTACTTAGATTAACCTTACTTACAGGCTTTATTAATCTTAGTCTTTCTGATTTAGGTCTAATTCTTTATCAGATACATTTTAAGTTTAATATAGCAACATTGCTCCTACAGAATTGTAAAGCCAAACAAAACAAAAGAAACAGAAATCCTTATGTCAGTTATTGATGATTTTAAATATATTTATACATAAATATTTCATGGGAAAAGTTGTTGCTTAAATTAAAGTATCAAAGTCAGTTTTACATATAATATTTAAAACTTATGTTCATCTTAAAAATTGGTTAATCACTTTTCTTTTTCACACAGCAGCCTGAGCTTCAACCCCAATTGAGACTAAACTTAAGAAAGCACTGTTAAAAGTAGAAAGTTACAGTAATTTTTAAAAGAAACTTTCTATCGTTGCAATTAAAATTTTTCTTTGTAAACAAAAATCCTCAAAGGAGCACCTGTTATTGAGATCAGAAAAACTAGTTTGTCATGCTATTATAACAATGTTCATGATGCATGGTTTACTATGTTAAATGGAAATGGATTCTGCTTTAAGAAAACAGAATTTAAATGAAGTTAGGAGTTGACTATTCATGCTACAAAACAATTCTCAAATTTTAAAGGATTCACTGCAGTTTTTTTCATAGAAAATAATCCCCCTGTGGTTTTAAATATCATTGTATAATTTTGAATTTACACATAAATTCAAATGATGTGGAAACTGCCTGTGTATAGAACTCTGCATGCTGTAGAGAAAAAGCTCATAAAAATTTCCCATAAGTCACCTAATTAATGGTGACTATAAGAATGAACATAAATAAACATGAATTATAATGCATAGAAAGTCACTAAGAAAATTATTCTTGTGTTATTCACTTTTATGATTAAAATGTAAATGCTTTACATTGCTGAGTTTCTGGCTTAAAAGAGAACTTTAATATGTCCATTATGACCTTGTGCAATTACTAATTTAAGGAGCTCTGGTAGTGTAGTAATTATGAATTGGGTTGTGAATCTCAAAGTCAGCAGTTCGAAACTACCAGCTGTTCCGTGGGAGAACGATGAGGGTTTATGTTCCTGTAAAGATTTACAGCCTCAGAAACCCTGTACAGGGTCGCTATGAGTTGGAACCGATTTCATGGCACATAACCACCACTACAAATTACTAATTTATGAGATAAGTGGTACCAAAAGAAATTTCAGCTTACCAGATAGAATGATGAAAAATCTGAATTGGGAAGTGACTATGGTGCTCCTTAGCTACTGCACACTAGACACAGAGTCTTGGTGCCTGAGCCAGAGTTATAGAAAGATGGGGGACTGGACAGGGAGAAGCTCCTGGGTGAACTATGGTTCGGCAGTGTCACTAAGTGGGCTCCCAGCTCACACAAGTATCTAGTAAATGCCTATCAAGTTCTCAGAAAGAGAGAATTTTGAAATGTATTCACTATGAATTAACTTCCTTCCCCAACTTCAAGTCTGATCACTTATTCTTGGTAAGTTTGTTGTTGTTGTGGCTGTCTGCTTCTTACTTACCTTAGGCTTGGTAACATGAAGTTCTTTCACCATTTGAATATAGTGCTTTTTCCATATACCCTGCTCGAAGGGAGTGGGAGAGAAGTTGATATACCAGTTAAACCGTAAACATTTGAGCATCCAGAGTTGATCCAACTCAGTTAAGTTCTTCCAATGCCAGCTCACCTGAAAAAACAACAATGGTTACAAAAGAAACAAACTCACTCAGTTAACATGTCTACTTTCTCTCAGGTTTTGAGATAAGATAACTTTCTTGGTTCTTTTTCCTCTCAATCACAACTTAATATTTACTTCTTACCTAAAGTGCTTCCCTATTCATGAAGCAGGATTTACTTTAAATGCTAATTCAGCCTTAGAATCAAAGGCAACTAATATTTATTGAGCGTGTGTTAACCACCTAGGGAGTTAAGTATAATTGCTACCTTGTTTTGTAAATGAGGAAACTGAGACTCAGATAGGATTAGGAACTTCCTGAAGGTTCCTGAAGGTCATCTGAAATTACAGGAAACTTATATACACTCAGTTCTGCACATTATTTATTCTTTTCATGGTATGGTTCCTTTTCCTCCATTCTCATAATTTAAATATAAACTTATAAATAGAATATAATTACACTACTGTATGTTGTTATTGTTGTGTGCCGTCGACTCATAGCAACCGTACATAGGGTTTCCAAGAAGCAGTAGGTGGGTTTGAACTGTTGACCCTATGGTTAGAAGCCCAGTGCTCATCCTACAGCGCCACAGCACACAGTATGTTATATAACCTTCAGGATTTAATAGAGCATCAAATATTTGTGTCTGTATATTCTATTTCCATCATGTGTCAACCCACACATCCAACAAATGATGGAGGTAGCCCTACTATGTGCAGCAGTATTTACAATAATTTATTCCAGATTTTGAATAAATCCTGCTGGAAACTAGGGCCAAATTCATACATAAAGTTAACATTTAGGGTTCTGTCTTAGCTGTAAGAGTTACAAAGATGACATCTCTTAACCTCTAACCATAAATCTATATAATTTCACCCTTGGAAAAGTTACCTCTTTTCCAATATTAAATACACGACACATTTTGAGTACAAGGAAGAACAAAACAAAACAAAAACAGAACACTCTGTAATGATCCTTGTTCTCTCATTATCCATATAATCCATTTATCAATCCCTGCCTTCTTCCTCCCTTCATCCACTATTTATTCAGTGCCAGCTCTGTTTAGCATTGTTTTATGCGATGAAGAGGAGACATACAAGAGGGAGTGAGGCGCAATTCTAAGATACAACAAAGGAGGAAAGCATTAGTGGATCTGCTTGGCAGAAATCACATCTAGTTTGTTAAACTTTAGGGAGCCCTTTTGGTACAGCGGTTAAGCACTCAACTGCTGACTGAAAAGGTCAGCAGTTTAAACTCACAGCAGTTCTGTGGGAGAAAGGTGTGACTGTCAGTTTCCTTAAAAATGGGTGTTATTAAGTGCCATCAAGTTAGTTCCACCTCATAGGTAACCTATATAGGGCTTCCGAGGAGCCACTGGTGGGTTTGAACCACCAGTCTTGCTGTCAGTAGTCCACTGCTTATCCTACAGTGCCATACAAAATTACAGCCTAGGAAACTCTACCAGGAAGTTAGATTCTGTTTTATTGGGTTGTTATGTGTCAGAACAACTCATTTTTGCTTTTTTTGTGTTTTTCTTTTATTTGCTTGTTTTTTAAGGTAGATGAATGAGCAAAACTGCTTTCAAAACACAAGACCTTTCAAAACCATTTTAAACAGCTCAAAGTTCATTTTAGTGCAATGACTTTGTTGACTTCAAATCTAGCTGATGAACAATCGCCCGGATCTTCCAATTGTTACTGTTGTTCGTTGCCATTGATATCGACGTGTGGCAGCCCGTGTGCAGAGTAGAACTGTTTCATGGGTCACAGCCTCGAAAACAGATCCAATGATAAAATGGGCAAAAGACATAAATAGATACTTTACCAGAAA